ACATTGATTCTACACAAACCTTACAGTTTGGTGAGAATTTATAGTAAACCTTTGCCCTGTCTGCAGGATATTGTAAAGCTGGGGAAATAGCCTGTCGAAACGGCCGCTGTATTTCTGAGCAGAAGAAGTGTGATGGCCATAACGACTGTGAGGATGGTACAGATGAATCCAAGTGCGCTAAATGTGAGCCCACCCAACGCAACCATAAGCATTTTTGACTCTTTTAGCTTCTTTTATTGTTGTTGTTTTTTGACTGGAGAATTCATGAAAGCATTTACAGAAGTGTCCAGTATGGGGGACTAGAGGTAACATCGCTGTTATTTGTAGATGATTTTGTTCTCTTGGCACCTTCCAAAGTGGACCCCAGGGCAGTCCCAGGACCCTTTGGAGATTATATTTCACAGTTGGCTTGGGAAGAACTATTTACCAGGACTAGCTAGAATCTTTGGCCAGGAATAGAGAGGTCTGGACTGGCCTTCTCAGCCCGTTGGCAACGCAACCCCCAATAGGATATGTGGAAGGAAACCAAATGAATGAATGAACATGTTTCACTAAACAGGATCATTTTCTCAGCAAAATTAGTGTCCTTAGTGATCACATACACCGATCAGCCATAACATTATGACCACTGACAGGTGAAGTGAATAATATTGATTATCTTGTTACAATAGCATCTGTCAAGGGTTGAGATATATTAGGCAGCAAATGACCAGTCGGTTCTCGAAGTTGATGTGTTGGAAGCAGGAAAAATGGGCAAGCGTAAGGATTAGAGAGACTTTGACAACGGCCAAATTGTGATGGCTAGATGACTGGGTCAGAGCATGTTTAAAACGACAGGCCTTGTGGGGTGTTCCCGGTATGCAGTGGTTAGTACCTACCAAAAGTGGTCCAAGGAAGGACAACCAGGGTCATGGGCGCCCAAGGCTCACTGATGCGTGTGGGGAGTGAAGGCTAGTCCATCTGGTCTGATCCCACAGAAGAGCTATTGTAGCACAAATTGCTGAAAAGTTAAAGCTGGCTATGATAGAAAGGTGTCAGAACACACAGTGCATCGCAGCTTGCTCCGTATGGGGCTGTGTAGCCACAGACCTGTCAGAGTGCCCATGCTGACCTCTGTCCACTGCCAAAAGTGCCTACAATGGACAGGTGAGCATCAGAACTGGACCACGGAGCAATGGAAGAAGGTGGCCTGGTCCGATAAATCACATTTTCTTTTACATCATGTGGAAGGCCGGGTGCGTGTGCATCATTTACCTGGGGAAGAGATGGCACCAGCATGTACTATGGGAAGAACGCAAGCTGGTGGAGGCAGTGTGATGCTCTGGGCAATGTTCTGCTGGGAAACGTTGGGTCCTGGCATTCATGTGGATGCTATTTTGAAACATACCACCTACCTAAACATTGTTGCAGACCAGGTACACCACTTCATGGCAACAGTATTCCCTAATGACAGTGGCCTCTTTCAGCAGGATAATGTGCCCTGCCACACTGTAAAAATTGTTCAGGAATGGTTTGAGGAACATGACAAAGAGTTCAAGGTGTTGACTTGGCCTCCAGATTCCCCAGATCACAATCCAATCGAACATCTGTGGGGTGTGCTGGCCATCAAGTCCGATCCATGGAGGCCCCACCTCGCAAATTACAGGACTTAAAGGATCTGCTGTTAACGTCTTTGTGCCAGATACCACAGCACACCTTCAGGGATCTAGTGGAGTCCATGCCTCAACGGGTCAGGGCTGTTTTGGCAGCAAAAGTGGGACCAACACAATATTAGGCAGGTGGTCATAATGTTATGGCTGATCGGTATATATGCTACAGTTCTGGCAGAAAGGGGTCAGATTGAAAAACAGTAGTATTTCTTTAATGAAAGAATTCTGGTATGTTTCCTATGAAACTCTTGATATTGAACGAGTTAGAAAAGCCCCAGTTTGTCAATTGTGGCCTTTTTCTTTTATCAACTACTGTATAGATTGGTAGAAAGGACGAATGTGTTGTTCTGCTGCCTGTTCTACAGTGGGACTTGGGACAGTATAGCGTGACACGTTAGACCTGTTTAATCAGAGCAGCTTATTCAGAAATGTAATAATAAAACATAGATGTATTTTATCAGCTCTTGTCAATCAAAGGTGCCAGAAAGGTTAGTTAGGATCATGACCATTATTGTTGGTGCTACAGAGAACTAAAAAATGGCACTATGTGGAAGAACCTTTGTGGGGGACATTATTCAGTTTATTGTGGCCAAAAAAAGAATTATGGGTTCCCTAAAATGTTCTTTAGGGAACCAGAAATAGTAAATAGTTAACCTTTATTTTTAAGACTGTGTGATTATATATTCTGTCTGCAACTTGCGTGTCTCAAGGATTCAGTGTCTACAGGTAAACAATAAGGAGCTGGTTTTACCTGTTGTATTTTCTGTTTAGCTATAGTCCTCACCTGCTCTGAGTTTACCTTCAAGTGTAAGAACAACATGTGCATCAGCAAGCAGAACCCGCAATGTGATGGGCACAAAGATTGTGAGGATGGTTCAGATGAAGAAGGCTGCGGTAAGCTTAGTTTAATCGCTTTACTAAGCAACTTGAATAATTCACAACTACTCCAGTGCCACCTGCATTTGTGGCCAGGGATAGGCAAAATGTACTGTTATCCATACTGTATATACAACCCCTGGCAAAAATTATGGAATCACCACACTTAGAGGATGTTCACCCAGCTTTTTTACTTTATAGCAAACAAACAAATCACAGATATGACACAAAAAAGGTTTTGTTCAATAGCTTAACATTCTGGCTTTGTTAAATATACATAAAAAAAATTCACTGACATTTTTTTTTATTAATGGCATGTCTTTTTCC